GTCTCTCTCTCTCTCTCTCTCTCTCTCTCTCTCTCTCTCTCTCCTTTTCTCTGTGCGTGTATGTGCGTATGCGTGTGTATGTATGCATGCAATCCCTCCCCCCTTCCTTCTAATAAAATCTGAGACAGTCTCAAAATAAGAAGAGAACGGAAATCACGGAAAAATCTGAACAGAAAACACAGACACTGAAACTTTCCATTGAGACAGACATCACTGCGTCCGCAAAGATATGCCTTCATTTTTGTTTCACCGTTCGTGACATGATTCCAAAGTTTATTGTTAATGAAAGTTCTGAATATCAAAAAGTCGGAGACAGGCTGCATTTATGCTCTGTTTTGCTTCGGGAACGACAAAAGCATAGCTTGTAAGTTGAATGATCTAGAGAACAGCCGGAGGTGGGGGAGGGGGCTGGGTCTTCACAAATGAACCTGTTGGATAATAGAATGCAAGTAATCTGGCGTTCCTCCTGAACAAAGATCCCAACCTCTCAGAAAACATTCGAAACATGGCAAATAAACCATTCGTTCGCATACTCGCTTCTCACACCTCTCAAAGCGAGCTTTCTCCGAAGCGACCAGGCAAAATCTTAATCCACACCAATTACTTCTACACCGTCCCCACCAACAGTCCAGCCTAATGACTCTAATTTGTTCTTTTCGTAAACATGGAATTTCGACGTTGCCTCCAAGTTTTGAATATTTCCGCCAGTCACGTGCATTCAAACTTTTCGTTCCTTGTTCGCCTCACGCGTAATTCTAGACAACCTCGGAAACATTCCGAAACGTTCACCCCGAGGCACGTGCATTAACGTAACAACCTTGGAATGGTGCCATTGCCAAACACTTCCATCGATTCTGTCGTGGTTCCAAACCAAAGGTAAAACAGCAGGGGACGTGTTTGTAAATCACGAGTAAATTGCTCTAAAACTACAAGCACTTAGCGCACCGTAGTTACAATCAAGTAGTTTTGACGACACTGGGGTGATTGGGTCTTGCTTTTTTGGTCTGTGTATAATGCGTGACTTATATTTACGAGACCATTATGGGACTGAAACTTTTTGTGGAGCATTTTAACAGATTAGAAGCTTGGAGACAGACCACCCAAGACCATTACTGCCGCTTACTTTTTAAGAAAAAAATGAACCCATAGTTGAAACTATTAAAGTTATTATAGTAGTCAGCAATTTGCTCACGAAAAAAAAAGTGGTTTCAATTTCATCCAGTTCGGATTTTCGGAAAACATCGATTTGACTGGAGAAAACTTGGCCAGGTCTGTTTCTATGTTTTCTTCAGCGTGAGTACTTTAGTTTCTAATTCTGAAGAACTCGCAACGGGGTCAGTGGGGAATTATGTGTGTGTGTGTGTGTGTGTGTGTGTGTGTGTGTGTGTGTGTGTGTGTGTGTGTGTGTGTGTGTTATTTATCTCTTTAAGTGTGTCTCTGTTTTGACCACTGTTTCTGGTTCCCATCCCCTGAGACGCGACAGCCACGGCTAAACGCTGACAAAACAAGTCCCAAGTCACCTCTCCGCGCCTCGCACCCCGACGTATGCCACTGGACAGTGACATAATCACCCCGCAAGGAAGAGATTTCGCCAGCTCAACATAAACCCCTGAGCTTTGCAGTACGAAACTTGAGAGGATGAAGTCATCTGCTTTGGTCGAGTTTCCTCCTACTCTCCATCGTTCTGTTTGTCTTTCTGTCTCTGTTTCTGTCTCTATGTCTCTCTCTGTCTCTGTCTGTCTGTCTGTCTGTCTGTCTGTCTGTCTGTCTGTCTGT